AAATTTCTGAATATTATGTGTTGCCTTTTTCATGACTAAATAAAAATAAATCTGAATCCCACCATTTTACTTGTATCATCCTTTGGAGGCTACTTTTTGTATGAGTGAACTGTGTAAACGATATTTGTTTTATAGAGTCAAAGTGAAACTGTTTTATTTAAATATAGGTCAGAATTTTTGGTTTGTAAATGTAATGCTCAATTGACATTCTACTCCACAAGAAACATATCTCAAATGTCAAAAGGGATACAAAAAATGCTATTGTTAAATGCCACGTGGCATTGTAACTATACAACATTATGTGTCATTTTATAATTAACTCTTTTCATTCAAGGTCCAATCGTAATGTTATATGTATCCACTCGTTCGATGCTACATCATATTTCACTTGATGCTACGTCATATTTCACTTAATGCTACGTAGGATTGTAAGTTAATTTGTAATGAAAGCAAAATTTCCTAGAACTTAGTGGTGTATCCTACGTGACATTGTAACTATAGCATTACTGAAAGAGATAATATTTTAAGTTGATTGGCTTACTTATGGTTTAGGGAGGCTGGCCACTAAGTTCTAGGAAATTTTGCTTTCGTTGTACATTTGTAAAAGCTGATGTTTGTTTGCTTTAGATTAGATGTATCGTGGAAGAAAAGAAGGATGAAGAAGATAGGACACTGAATGAAGGCGAAGCAGAGATTGCTATTTCACATGCAAAGAGACTTGCTTACTCAGGGCGGAGTCCAAGCTTCCAATATTGGAATTATTACCCCACATGTAATGCAGGTACTATGGAGTATACCTGGTTGATAGAGTGAGACATAAATACTAACTAGATAATTAGATGTCCTCCCGCTTCATCCATTCATTCCGTGAAATGACCAATACATTGATGTTTGTTCTTTTAAATTGCAATTGTATTTCAGGTTCTATTACTAAAAATGTTGAGAAGCAATGAGAACTGGCTAATGGATACATCAACTGTGAATGTAGCTTCTTCTTGGTCCACAACCCCACTTCATACAACTAAATGCAAGACAGATGCTTCTTGTTGTTCTAGAAGTGGCAGATTGGTCTACCAGTGGTTATGAGGGATGCTGGAGGTCAGGTTATAGATTGGCATAGCTATTCAACAATGTACCTTATCTGCCCTCGCAGAAGAGGCATAAGTTCTTCGTCTTGCAGTGGGAAGGGCAACGGCAAATGGGTTTCAAGAGTCATTTTTGAAGCAGCAAAAGTTAGCTCGGCAAATTGCTTCCGTTGTGGAACCCATGTGTGTACTCTGCTACCAGCCTTTGAATGGTTTGATTTTGTGTTTGTGCCTGGAATAAGCTAACAAAGCTACTCAACTGGGTTGCTATTGGGCGCACTGTCTACCCGTGGAATTTTGTAAACTATTGTATATAGATATTGCTTAGGGTTAAAGAAGGTAAGGCCTCCTGAAGTGGTCCAATTCACCAGTGGGCTTGGACTGGAAAGTTGAAAAAGCCTGTACGATTGTTGAAAAAGTACTAATTTAATTCTTAAATTTTTAAAATAAATATCAATTTATTCCTTAAAATTTAAAGATAAATATTAATTTAATTTTTAAATTTTAATAATATTAAATTAAATTAAATTAAAGTAATATTTTTCAAAATAATATTTTATAATTTGAATAATATTAACACATTTATTGAAGAAGATAAAGTTTCCGTACTGTCCATACATTTCCCAAAAGGAGAAAATATCTCGCACTAATAGCCCTCAGTGGGCTGATAACGTACAGCTAAATTTTTGGGCCAAACCAAAATTCAAGTCTTAAAAAGTCCTTCTCCTAAGATTCCCTTGTTAAAAAAAAAAAAAAAA